TACTAGCAAATGCTCTTATTACCGAGTCCAGAAACAGAAGTAGAAAGAATGTTGTATCCAAGACAAAAGAGGGCTGCACAGGAACATCCAAGGAGAAAGCCGAAGTTAAACTACAATGACTTTTCAAAATGGCATTGCTAGCTTAAACTACTATAATCAAATGCATTTGGATTTTGAGAAGTTAAAAATCCAACATAGCATACTTGAATTTCATAACTCTCCAAAAAGAAAGAGGAAGCACTGGTTATGATGGCCTCAACTACATACGTAATTCATGTGGAGAATAAAAAATTGGACTTTCTTTGGTGTAAGAAAATCACAAGCTATTGAAAAAGAGTCAAATCCATACATAAGTTCATATGGATCACTATGTTTTTGAGTAAGTTGAAAACATTGCATAATACAACCTAAATTTCACCACCCTTCCTTCCAAATGAGTTATCAACAATGAACAAGAAAAATACCGAGCATTCATTTCCATTTGACATAAAACATAACTATTGACAAAAAACAGTCAATTTAAAAGTGCAGGGATCGAATTGCAAACTTATGAGAATTCAAATGAATCATTCAAGTTAAATCTCATGTTAATCTTACCAATATTTTTCACCTTTGAGAACAACCAAAAATCTATGAACAACTAAACATCAAACAACTCTATTGTTACATTTTGTCTTATTTTGGAGTGTTTATAATTCGAATTTAATTGAATTAATGATTGAATCAATTGATCATCAAATTAATTTTTATTATTAACGAAAAAGATTTTAGATAAAATTTAATTTTCAATTAATTTGATTTGAAAACCAAATTAATCAAAATATAAAAAAATTCAAATATAAAATAAATTATTTTATTTCATAAATTTTTAGAATTTTTAACATAATATTTGGTATTTGAATATTTTATTAGATAATTTTATTTAATTTATTTAAAATATAAGAAATTAAGAGTTTAAAATACAATTTAATTTAAATATATTTATTGTTTGGTTAACTAAACCGGCCAAATTAAATTTGATTGAAAAATTCGGTTTGAAATTTATCCAATTGATCGAACATTCCTAATTTTGCGCTTGGTTCTTCTGGGTGTTGCTAGTTTCTAAATATATTATATAATTGAACAGCTTTTCCAACCAAGTCGTTGTAGTATAGTGGTAAGTATTCCCGCCTGTCACGCGGGTGACCCGGGTTCGATCCCCCGGCAACGGCGTTCCTTTTCCCAAAGCCGAAATGCTGTTGCTTCAACTTTTACTTTTCTTCTACGCATTTTCTGGGAAATGATATAGAAAAAAAGGCCGTGAATTTCACAACCTTAAACGAGCTAACTAAAACGTCCTCAGCATAATAGAAACAGAGAGATCTCCGCCGTCTGATCTTTCTACTGAAACTCCCCATCGTCCGATCATGACAACCAGCATCCATGTCACCGCCCTGGACAGTGTTGTGAACGTGAACTCCCTCTTCACGCTCGCCGTCTTCATCGGCCTAACGTGGAACCGTTATGATTCCAGAATTATAATGGAACAAGGCTATACAGATTGGAACTTCGAGAATTGTTGTTGATGTTTCATTTGGGTTTTTGGTTTCTTCTGGGGATCTTTTTCTTGTATGAAAAGTTGTTTTGATACTGTATTTTCACTTGGGCTTTTGATTTTGTTGTTATTATTGTTGTATAATCTAGCTGAGATTATACAGAAAATGAAAATATAGGATATCAGTATGTTCTACTGGATGTGATCACATTGAAATTTTAACTTTCGTAATTTCAAGGAATGGCATTTGTGTTCTTTCCGTACGACTAAGAAGAGATCATGATGAAAAAGGGGGGTTTGTTGTCATAAAAGATGTGAAATGAACATATTTGTTAGACTTTTAGTTCGTAGTTGCCAGATCTGTTTGGGTTTTGACAGAACTGGTGAAGAAATTTTCTTTATTATCTAATTTTAATGGGTTGGGACAGTGCAGGTATCAAGTCGGTGGAGATCAGCTCTACGTTTCAGAACAGTAAGTAGTGTTGACAAATTGCTAGATTTTGTATTTCACCGACATATGAACTGGGAAACAAGTTGCTTATTGAGGTTACTGCAGGCATTGAAGTCTTAGAACATTGTTTTAATGAGTTACAGATGAGAAAGTAGCAGGAATAAAGACCCAAAAACCACAAGCTTATCAGCCCACAAACATGCTATGAAGGCAGAATAGAAGAAGGTAAGGTAGTCAATATACTAGGTTTTTATAAGCTAATGCTGTGTGTTCCGCTTGAAATGATACCTTAGTTGTTTATAGGATGTATCAATGTCGGCTTGCATTTCTTGATTCTGGTTTCCATGAATGTTTAAACTGTGGATGGGTTTAATTAAGGTCGTTGGAAGAGATTCCAGAGAAACAAGATGTAATTGTTGACCTTTGATGGTCAGGGTAACTCTGAATCGAATGTTCTGGAATAGTAGGTGCTGCAGCTGATAAAAGACTTTTCTTTAGTTCCACATCCATTGTAACGGTGGAATTCACATGTATTGGATATTTTTAGCTATTTGTTTCAGCATAAATTGTTGAGAAGCATCTTTCTTTCAGCACAACTTGTTGAAGAAATGGAAGCTCCAATGAAGTACATCTGTATTCTAGCGTTTCTTGTGATAATGACCATTGCTGGTTCAAAGGAGTGGAAGGGACATGATGATTATGGTCCATGTGGGAAACATAACATTGAGAAGGAAGCTGAGAAGGCTGGCACCTTGTACAAAGGCAGCCCAAGATGTGAAAGCTCCAGTTTCCAACCGTTGCTGCATGTAATGGAGAAAAAGCTCAAGAATCCAAGCTGCCTCTGTGCTATTATGTTTGCACATACAGCATACAACGCTGGAATCAAGCCAGAAGTTGCCGTGACCATTCCAAAACGTTGCAACATTGCTGTTCGTCCCGTCGGTCACAAGTGTGGAGGTAGAATTCGCATATTACATAATGTGTTCTTGGTTACACCTTTTCTCCCTTGCTTTTATATAATGCTGCTAGTGTTAGTTCCATTCTCATGAAGCTATTGTTTATTTCTTGCAGCTTTCCCTCTCCTTTAAGTGTGAAGGCTCCCATTGTTCGTCGTCCTGTGCTTCCATGGTTTGTTCTTGTTGCTAGTCAATCTAGTTGATGAGTTCACTGTGACATCCAGCTGTTTGAGTGAAAAATAAAACTGCAGTTGGATCTTTGAAATAATAAATGGAAGTATAGTTGTTTCCTTTAATAATACTAAATAAAAGGTTAGTTTTCTTTGCAAAACATTTGCTTGTTGCTCGATAACCATTTTCTCCAATTTATGCTGTTAATAGGATCAATAATGGAGAGGGTCACTTGAGTTGAACAATCTAACTGATATCATTGACTTTTATATGATGTTGTTGAACTAATGAGGCTTTTAGGATGTTTCATATTCAAGTGAGCTAAGATCGCATATCCTAAACGATATGAGTGGCAAGTTGCAAGAAGAGAACAGCTGGTGATTCAACAAATAGAGTAGACCAGCTTGGTTCTGCCATGAAAGTGAATCATGCAAGTGGTCCACTAAGAATTCACTGGTTTTTTTTTTTTTTAAATTCGGGGAAGGGACATTCAAACTTTGCTTATTGAACAGCGATTGATACATCAAGTGATGATACATCAATCATTGAACTAAATTCTCAGATAATGAAATGATTCGGGTGCAGTTCACTGGCTTTTTACTAGTAAATAGTGGTTAACTACAAGCAATGTTTATCTGGTGTATTTGGAATTTATAAAGCAGGACAACATGCCAACAGACCGATATCCTATATATTGGTGAGGAGGAAGATTTGGGTAGCTAGCTCTGTGGAAGAAATGATTAAAAAAATAAAAAAAGAGATGAGGGTTAGCCGATTAGGAAAAGAAAGAATTTAGAATTTTGGATTAACACTAGGAGTAAAAGCAATAGAACTGTCGACATATACCATTCATTTATTCTCTTTATCTTGTAAGGAACTCTTTCATTAAGCCAATGAACTTCACACGAATTGTTGCCAGGAGGACTTTACAAGGAACATTGATTATCTGATTCCCCGAGTTTTAATTTGTACATGCAGTCATTCATAAGAAACAATATCCAGCAAGTCTGGTGTTCAAATTCTAATATTCCCATATTGCGATCTCCTTTGACTCTAGAGAGAGAGGGTAATGGATATGTAGGTAGAAGTCGAACTTGTTAGATTCTATGCTGTCAGCTTCTCATGAAAAGGTTCTTTTTGCCCCTTCAGGATAAAGTAGTGGAATTGCAGTAATGGCTTTAGCAGGCACTAACCGCCATTGGAGTAGTAGGTGCTGCAATAAACAAAACACTTTTCTCTAGTGCTACATCCACTACGATTTGTGGGTTTCATATGTATTACTCATTAAAAACGTTTTTAGTTGATTGGTTTTACTATAAATTTTGAAGTTGAGAAGTGTTTATGCATTGCAATATTGAAGAAATGAAGTGCATCTGCTTTTTGGTGTTTCTTGCTATTTTTGGCATTGCTGAGCTCAATGTAGCAGAAGGAGCTGGTGAATGTGGGAGACCCCTGACAGTGAAGCCTGGAAGTTGGCTCCTTGTGCAATGGCAGCACAAGATTTGAATGCTCAAGTGTCTGACAGTTGCTGCCAACAGGTGAGGAAAATAGGCCAGAATCCAAGATGTCTCTGCGCTGTTATGCTTTCTAACACAGCTAAGAGTTCTGGAATCAAGCCAGAAGTTGCTGTGACCCATTCCTAAACGCTGCAACATTGCTGATCGTCCCATGGGTTACAAATGTGGAGGTATATTTTATTTTTACAGTATTATTTACAGACTCTTTATCCATTTTTCCTCTGCTTTTACAAGATTCACCAAGTTTGACTCTCATTTTCCTTCTTCATTTGCATCTCTTGAAATTGCTTCTTACATTTTGCAGATTACACTCTGCCTTGAGCATGAAGGCACAAGTCATTGTTCCTGGTGATGTATTTGAATGATACATAAAAGATTGTGTTCAGTAATCTTTCGATAACTTCAAGTATTTTCTTACTGCTCAATGCTCAAAAACCTCTCCTCAATAAATGGAATTCTTGAAACCCTTATCTTGCATGATTCCTATAAAATAAACCAGAATATGGAAACCAGAATTTGAATCCAGTCACCGGAACTACAGATCACATGACTGTTGGCAACATATAACTTCTCTTTGTGATCATTCATTGTATATAAGATGCTAAAATGCATCCAATCTTGAAAGTGAAATCAAGATGAGAGAAGGGTATACTATATATGTCAATATATAGTTATAGTAATCCATTTTCTTGTGGGAAAAATCCCACGGACCATAGTTCAGAACAAGAAGATTAGATTAGTCAGGCAAAAGAAAAGTAGATAAACGTATAATACATGATTCCGGCGTGCTCCGAGCTGTCTGCCCTAAATATAACAGCTTACAGGGTCAACATGCTTCCTCAAAGTCCTAAGCTGTGTTATGCTCTATATGCTTCTACTGTATTGCTAGCTATCTACCAGCTTATTTCCATAGTAATAATACGATTAATTACGCTGCTAGTGTTCCTGCAAAATAGTCCACAGATATAATTTCAAGCAGCTTGATCAAAGAAATATGGAAGTATGCTAGACTAAAGAAGAAATATTATGCCAAGAACATAAAAGAAAATTGGTTTCTGTGTTTTTTAACTGTTATTATTATTGCTATATTTTTGTTTGGCCTGTAACAGGCATATGCATAAAAGTCGAGCACAAATAAGGTGGGGTGATTTCTTTTCCTTGTCAGTTGAATCCTCTATGAATAAATTTTCAAAGTGGTGAATGTAGAAAAAAAAATGTAAAACAGAAGGGTGCATATATATACAGATAAAGCAAAAAGGAGATCCATCAGAAATTTTTAACATATACCTTAAAGTATTGGGATGGAAAGTTTGCATTATTTTGGATTAAGATGTTAGTAATAAAGTGAGCCTGTACAAACAAAGAATAAATTGATTAAAGATTGTTCAATTCTATAATTTTTATGGACAGTGAAGAGTATTTTGTTTATCAACAAAAATCCACAGCTTTCATACCCTGCCACCAATTCCCTCTTGAAGCACCACCAGAATTGTTTCCATTGGGATCATCATCTCCCCCATCCTTCTTGAACTGTCAAAACAAAAGACCAAGAACAGAGAAATCCCTGGTAGTTAGCATGTAGAGAAAGCAAGATGCAGGACCTATACAAAGTGTTTGTTAAGGAATATTGTAATTTGTGTTATAGTTACATAATGGGAGACTCAGTGGTCTTCTTCCCTGGAGAATAATTTTCTTGGCCTCCATAGTAGATAGATGAGCTGAGATTGCAAGGTTCCACTGTTTCATTATGATAAACGGACGAACTCTTGTCTTTGTTAGTTGTTCCACTGCTTTGTCCCTTGCTATCAGTGTGTGATCTGAAACAAAAATGTGAAGGATTCACATTATATTCTCTCATCCAGCTTTCTCATGTCATCAGTTGCTTGAGAATCCAGTAAAAGCAACTTCATATAGTTTGTTTTTATCAAATTAAAAGAACTCAAGGTTCCTGCTACTCATCTAAGAACCAGCACCAAAAGGCAATGACAAAAGCAACAAGCATGACAAACCTGGGATTTCCATATTGCCATGATGGGGCAAACCCTGATTATTCCATGACCCCATCATTCCAGAGTGACTGGAGTCCCTCCCTAGCACCTGAAATCAGAAAGAGAACAATTCAGACCATTGCAGCACAATTCCATTTAAAACAACCGGCAAAATCTATAAAAATTAGAACAAAAAGAAGGATAATCACAATAAAGAGAAGCCATGCATAGTTACCAGTCACCAGGGTCAAGTTCTATTGCACAGTCTAATCCAAAAGCACTAATTCTAGCAACTATTGGAATATACCAATCAGCCTACATTTTCTTTCTTCTCCTTCACTTCCAATATCCCTTCTCTTTCATCAATGATGCAAATCACTTAGAAAAGTTAAAATATTCAAAAGAAAAATGAGTATACTCCACTAGCTAGTATATCTACCGACCAAGTGAATCATAAAAAAAGGTTACAACAAGCACTTGATGAACAGACTTTAGTGTATTATATGTAAGCTTCTCTCTGCATCTTTTCAAGAATCATTCACTTAAAAATATAAATCACATCAACTTTTGATCATCATTCAAAGCCAATTCCATGAAATTGGAAAGAAATGTACAAACTAATTAAACAATAAACCATCTTTTATCCTATACATACATCAACTTCTTAACTTCCAATCAAGAATTACCTCTCAGTACCAAAATTTCATATATTTTCAAGTACATAGTTGCCTAAAGAGTAAACGGAATTTTCTTTTTTTTTTTTTCATTTTAAACCATAAAAAATCAACAAGGTTGTATCATTTATGAATACAAATTGATGAGAAAAATGTCTAAAAACCAGGTTTTTTTTTTTTTTTTTACCGTTGATGGAGGAGGGAAAATGGTGTCAAAAATCCCACTTGTGGATGAAGAAGAAGAAGAAGAGTCCTTGGGACCAAAGAGATGATCCAAAGAAACAGATGATGATGATGATGAAGAAGAACCACTCACTTGCCTTTTGTTTTCCATACCAGAAAAAGTAAAACTTTTTTTTTTGTTTTGTTTTTCTTAAAAGCTTTCTTTGTCAACCAACGAACAAAACTACTTTGATAGATCTTAACAGAAACGACCCTAAAAAAACCCAAACAAAAAGGATGCTTGCAGTGGATAAAAAAACAAACAGAGAGACTAAAGAAGGCAGATAGAGCAGCAATGGAAAGCAAAGCAAAACAGAACGAGAAAGCTACAGGGAGAGAGAGCACGTGAAGAATGTTGATTTGAGGAGATATCGTTTGTTGGCAATCTGTCTAAGCTATTTATAGGCCCAAGAAAGAGTTGAAAGTCTTCAGGAGTCAAGGAAAAACCAAGGCTAAAAACCCATGTGAAGCTATTCCTTTTGTGTCTGTTTTTTGGCACAAGGATGCACCAGTCAACACCCAAGTGGATATTTCTTTTGCCTCAAATCCAACCTTTGCTTGCCATGTGTTTCCTGGCGTATTTCTTTGACTTTTGGTGTTTTGGATTGTTGGGATTTTGATAGAGAATAAAGAGAAAGAGACAAAGAAAAAAATTTTTAAAGGTTTTTCTATGTTTTATATACATATATATATATATATATATATTGAAAATATTGCTCTAATTGAGTTTTTGAATATCAAAACATCTCCATTACTCGATTTAATATTTTCTCTTTTTTATAATATTTAAAGTTATCAAAAATTGAATCTTATTAAATCCCTAACATTTTTATCTATAAATCACAATTGTTTGACAATTTACTTTTTCATTTAATTTAATTTAATTTTTTATTTAAAATTAATGAAGTGCAAAAAAAATAAGAGAAAAGGGTGTATTTGCTTTTGTTCTTTAGTAAAATCAAGTCACCTATTTAAATCTATTAATTTAACATGGATCTCATTTATAATATTATTTTGTTATACAATTTTATAAAAAAATACTTAAATTTAATTTTTTAAAAAAATATATTGAAAGTAATATATATTTTTATTTTTTTATATGAAAAGTTGTAACTTAAAAATAAAAAAATGAGTTTTAAATATTAAAATTCGAACTTAAAATTTACTGAATGCTACTTTTAAAAATAATTAAATTGATTAAATTAAGTTTCAAATTTCGTGAAATCTTAGCTGTTGTTTCAATGTGATAAAATGGATAAGGTTGGTTGGGCTCAAGTTGATGTTATAAAGTAAGAAAAGATTTATAAGATGTTTTTTAAGTGAAATTTATGAAATTTTTTACTTAAAACAATCAAACAAAAATTTAAATTGAAAATTAAAATCAATCGATCAAATAAATATCAATAAAAATTTAAATATAAATAAGATTTTTAATAATTTATATATATATTAGTAATATTCATATTGAACTTTATTAATTATTTATTTAAATTATTTATTAAATTATTTTAAAAAAATTATCCTATAAAATATGCCTTTGTTACTCTTTTGAACATTTTTTTTTTTCAGCTCATCAGAATCATTGAAGATACCTTATGCCATGCAGTGAAGATATTACAGCAATCTAACTATAATCTTCTCAACAAATCTTTTGAAGAAATAAAGATAGAATATATGTCCAGTAGAATCATTGAAGATACTTTATGCCATGCGATGAAGATATCACATCAATCTATCCATCTTCTCCACAAATCTTTGAAGAATTAAGGACCGAATAAATGTAGAACCATTGAGAACGTGTTAGATTTTGATTTCTTTCAACTTGGACATGTATAATTAGATCTGATCGTTCATGTATTCATATCATGTATAATATTGAAATTCATATAGTTATATCTTGTTTTACACGAAAATTACGTGTTATAATTCGTTTCGATATAAAAATATATAATATATTTTTTTAGTTTTATTAAATTTATGTATAATTATTGTTAAAATTTTAAGTCGTATTACTTTCGTATCCTATATTTATGTTGTGTTTATATCGTGTTATTATATTGTATTTTAAATTGTGAGATTTATGTATAATATCAAATGATTTTAAAATAAAAAAAGTTAATTTATTCATATTAAAATTAGCATATTGACTCAAATATTATTATATGATACATCTGATGAATTTTTTTTTAAAATTTTATAAACACATTTAAACGATTGACATTTGTTCTTTAAGTTAGGTTAAAATTAAGATAAACGTGAAAGTTTGTGATATCAAATAATAAATTAGATTTATTAATTAAATTATTGTATAGTTAGTTTTCAAATGCTTTAATAATTAGCATAACTATTTTCAAGTCGGACAATTATTAACTAAAAAAAGAAAAAATGCCATAGAATTGTAATTTATTTTAATAATACCAAAAAGAGAAAACATTAAGACAATTATATTATAGAGAGATTGTGATTAGATAATGACATTAATTAAGAAGGGAATAGCAATGATTAGTTGCCACAATATTTTCTCCTTTAGTTAATCTCATCAACCTAACTAAGTAAGAAATGGTGGATTCATACAATTTCTAATTGGAGGAATGAAGATATCTTTATAAAAAAATCCTAATCTTGCCCAATAATTTAGGCTAAAAAATTGTTGGGTTGCACAGATATCTTTGACATTAATTTCAAAGTTGATAAAAACAACACTTATAATTGAATTTAGATAAACATTAGAATTCAAGACAAGGTTCTTAAACAATCAAAACATTATTATAACTTTTTTTCTTAATCTACTTTTAAACCTTTTACTTTTATATTTATTTGGCTAATGAGGACATTATGTATATAAGTTTTTTGAACTCACATTCTCCCAACATTAACTCTAATATCATATCAATTGATCCAATGATCAATCGGCAATGGAATCAAATCATAGTTAAATGCAAAAAAAGGTGGTAAATTAAGAAAGAAAAAGGAACACTAGCATACTAAAAAAGCATTTAAACTATTTTATTTTTCTTAAATAAATTCTTATATTTTTATTACATCCAAATAAGCTCTTATCTTTGAATTTATATTTAAATAAACTCTTATTTCAAACAAAAGATTAATTTATGTAAAGAGTTTGTTTAGGTACAAATTAAAATTAAAAATTTATTTAGATATAAATTAAAAATCAATGATTTATTTAAGTGCAAATTAAAGATTAAAGGTTTATTTAAATATAATAAAAATATAAAAAAATTATCTTAGTAAAATGATAAAATTTGAGAGTTTTTTTTTTTATTGTTTTAGTTAGAGGGATCTAATAATTTATTACTTTGAATTACCAAACAACTGTTTTACACGTATAAGCCTATAACTTGAAAGGGTTTTATATTAATCTTAGATTGCAGTTCTTTTTTAAATAAAAATTTAAAAAATTAGAAAATAAGAAAGAAGATATGCAAGACATAAATAATTTATATATACCGTCATATTGATTACACAGTAATTTGTTTGTTTGTTTGTTTTTTTTTTTTTTAATTTTAAGTACTAAATCGAAAGTTTAATATAATATAATTGGGGTATCACTTATGTAATTAATTTTTTTGCTTTATTGGAAACTAATAATCTAATTTTCATAATCCTTTGATGCTTTAAAAAACAAAAAGTAGATATGCAAGGCATAACTAATTTATATATTCCTTGATGAGTTATGGAATTTTCTTTGATATCATTTCCTTTAGGTTCCTTTTGGATAACTAAGGATAAGTGCTGAGGAATGAAACTTTTTTTTTTTTCCCATGAATGTGCAATTTCAAGTGCAAAAGAAGTTAAGCTTTTGTCACATGCTACAACATTGGATTTTTGTTTGAAAGCATATGCCTACTCTCTATTTTTCATGCATGCATGAACATGATACTTAGAAATTCAATTATTAATTTCAACCCCCAATTGTTTTTGCACAAACCACATCAAAGCTAATAATTGTACTTGTTGAAGTCATAAGATTCATATTCTTAATTTATGGATAGGAAGAGACTCCTTTAATATGTAAAGAGTATAATGGATTTTTGTCATGAATTTTGGATCATAGAAGAGGGTTTGGTTCAAATGATTCACAAAAAATAAGCAATTATTGAATTACATATTAAAAAAAAGCTTGTTAGGTGTCACATTATCATGCATTACTTTTTTTTTTTCTTTTAATCTAGAAAAGTGAACATTTGATATCGTTTAAGATGAAATTATGTATCAACTGAACTAAATATTTAGGTATATTTTATTATATTTATTTTTGTTCATAGTCAACTGTTAATATTTAATTGTTACAGAAAAAATAGCATAATCAAAGTAACATAACAAGAGATAATCCTTTTATTGATCTCGTATTTTTCATTATAAGATTTGAATTGACACCTTTAATTTAAAAAACTCAAATTTTAATTGAGTTTATTGGAATAAGTATAAAAGTATTAATATATATCATAACTCAAAATGAAAGTAATTAAAACGTGATAATGGATAATTTATGGCTGCAATTTATTCGAGGAATCAATTTGTTAGCATAACATTACCACTTAAATCTCATAAAAAACTATAAACTCTTCTTTAATTACATCAACATCTGCCCATTAATCAATGACATGTCTTTAACTTCTTATACCATGTTGTAGCTTTGCCTATCTTCATAATTTTTCTTAGCGGCTAATCTTCAATTAATAATAAAAGTTTATATATATTTTACAAAAGAGATTGCAATTTAGAAATAGGAAAAGAGTTACTGATTTAAAATCTATTAGATATCATATTTTAAGGGTTGTTACATGAGTGAATTGCCTTAAATCAATTTAATTTGATTTTTTTACATTTGAAAATTAGCTACATCTCTAATTAATTTGTTATTATCATCTTAGCTAGAAAACATATGAAAACTATTGGCTAAAAAACATTAATTTCCTTTGCAGACAAAAAAGGTGAAATGATTCCCTTGATATTCAAGCAAAATATGACGACATTGATGCCACTTTCTCCTCAATTATTGCAAACTTGATACAATTTTTGAACGCATAGTTTTTTTTAACCAAAATTGTTTAAACAATTAAGTTATGATTATTTATTCTCCACTAATGTTTCATTCTTTTTAGTAATTATTACTTTGATGTAAGAAGATAATTAATTATGCATGGCTGTAATTAATTCCAACTTGATTCAAAAGTAGTGATCTGACATTCCAATTAATATAAATTCTGTTTAGAAATTCAACACCCACCAAGGAATTTGATCCCATAGTCAAATTGCAACAAAGTGAAGAACATTCCTAGGTTGTCAGAATATGAAGACAATTTGCCATACATTTGTGAGCAATTTTCATGTTTCAACATATATAGAGTTGATTCTTTCAAGCTGGTGAATTAAATTGACTTTTTGTGTCTTTGATTGTATGTTTCTTAACCAAGTGGCTCATGTGTAAACCTGTCTGATGGGACATGAGTTTTGAAGCTGGAATCTAGTTTAATGGATTAAAAATCATTTTTTATTTAAATTTAATTTAAAAAATATATAAAATATTAATATAATTTTTTTTAATATTTTAGTATTTTTGGAACAATAATCAGGTCTGTTAGAGTTCATGAATCGAATTAGGTTTTGGACAAAAAATTTTAAAGATCAATTGGACCTAATTTGATATGACCCATGGACATATATGCTCATGCTATCTATTGATTTTTTTTTTTTAATTTATTATTTAGGTTACACACAATAAAAGATGAAATTCTATATCCATTCTCACATAAAAGCTTAAAAATAAAGAGCATGCATAAGTGAAAAAAAAAATGCAAATTTAAGATTCAATGAGAAAGTTGTACATGAGTATTTGTCTTAATATAATAGGTGCATATATATATTTACATATTCACATATTCAAACAGTTAAGTTGGAATTTTTCAAAATAATTTACGAAATTTATTAAAAAACATGTAATTTACTTACTATATAATATTTCTCCAGACTTAAAATACAGTAAAGTTTTTGTTAAAAAAGAAACAGTGAAGTTTTATTTTTACATTCTAACAAAAAGATATTTTTTAATTATAACCATAATCTAGGAATTCAGAAATTTCTAGTAAGTTAAGGATTTTTACAGTCAATTGCCACTTAATATTTTTATTTTTGATTTTTTTTACATTGTTAATACTTAATGTTAACGTTTAAATAAAAAATTAAATATAAACTTAAGAAATAAAAATAATTTAATGATATCAAAACTAGGGAACTAATTATCTTGGATTCATGGAATGAAACTTAAAAAAAAAAAAACTTAATTGACAAAAACAAAAGGAGAAAAGAAACAAAAAGTGACAGAAAACTTCCATGAATAGGTTAATCACATTCTGGTTTTATCTGACAGAAGAGATTGGTTTCATGTTATCAATCAAAGTTGAAATATGAATAAATTAAAGCAAAATCCATTTCTCTGGTAATCTGGATCTTATATATGATTGCCAATCTTTTTTTTTATACCACTTTTTAGAAAAGAAAATTGAAAATTTGAATATTAAACTTAATTCAGTTGAATTATATAATCATTTTTAAGAGATGATATTTGATAAATATAAGATTCAATTCCCGATTCCTATAACCTCTTCTCATATTCTCAAACTATAATTTCTTTTATACTAAAAAACTACGAAGTATTATTATCAAATTTGTCATATTAACTTGATAATCGAGCTCGATCCCTTGATATCTAGTAAATGGAAGCATATGACTTTAGAATTATAACAAAAAAGAATGTATAAAACATAGAATTAATTTTATTATTCATAAGTTCAGACTGGTTCACTGGTACTTCAGTCAAGACATCAGCCTTATTCATGTCTTTGACAAGGCTCTAAAGGTTCAGCTTTAGCATAGTCAACCTTGCCTTCAGGATCAATTTCTTTTACCAATCTTTCCACTCAAAAATGAATCTGACCCCAAAAAAAGAACACACGGCGACATAGATCCTTCCCGGGAACTCCTTATCCCAAATGCATTGCAGATATTAGTTTCATGATCAATTTCTCCATGTCAAATCCTGTCAGCTTAAAAATTGTTGCTCATCCACAACGGGCTGTGAATTGCCCATGATTTGCTAACAACATAGTTGTCAATGTGATACCCTCCTAGGTCTTATGATCCGGCATCTATAATAGAGTGTGCTATCGAGTTTAGCGAAGGTCTCAGAGATTACGTTTTGTAAATAATTTAGTTGCGTAGATCATGAACTTCTCAAGTATTTGTCTTGGCAACAAGGCAGTCTATCTCAGCTATAGTCTTTTCCAATGCATTTGGATTGTTGAGTAAATTGGACATGCTTCATTCTACCGTTGACATTATTGTATCGATGGATGCATTTAGCATGTCCTGGGCATTATCAAAACAAACACATTAAAAATATTTTTAATGGTTGCTTAATAAAAAACACACATATCTTGAATGATTGATGCATTTAAAGATAATGAGTTATTTTACTTATACAAAAATCATGAATGATTGATGCATGTTACTCTAGATTGTGCCAGTCACTTGAACAAAAATAATAAATATAAAAAAAGCAGAATGTGACTAAGTACCATCATCTGGGCTTTGATGTTTTGATCAGTGTAATACTGAGGCTGTGATTCTTGCAAAGAAAGCAAGTGGCTGATCATGGTGCTTTCCCTCTCAAAATCACCTTTATTCATTCTATGCTCATCAATCAAATCTTGCAAGAATGCATCTGTTTCTTTGAAAAGTCTCACTGTATTCTTCTTGAATCCTTGAAAATCAATCCACTGCAATGAAGGGAAAAAATCTCCTACATTTCCTGAGACTCCCATCTGAAAAAGATCTTCTACAAGCTTCTGTAGTCTTTTTCCTTCTAGTTTTCCTGTCACTTGTTCTCCAATATTGTATTGTTTTCCTGCAAAAATTCTGATATTGAATGTGAATTCTGACAACATTGGTTTCAACTTTACCTTGACGAAACTATCATCCTGGCTAGAAACAACATTGTACAATTTTGTCAGTAAAATCCTGGCTTCGTCCATCCGAATTGCCGAAGACAATTTCAAGCAAGTTGGAGAGAGTATTTCATGTCTGAATATACGACGAAGGTTGCGCCAATGGTCACCATATGGAGCTAAGCCTACATTGATGTAGTTGTAGCCAACATACTTGCCTGCCCAAAAGAGAGGGCGGTTAGCAGAAATGATTTCGTTTTTGGTGAAGCATTCTTCCACGGCGGAGGGTGATGACACGACGACGGCGAGGCGGGAGCCGAGCTGGAGGGAGAAGATTGGACCATGGTTTTGTGAGAGGGTGAAGATGCATCGGTGGAGAGGTTCCTTGAGGAGATGGAGGTGGCCTAGGCTTGGAAGTGCAAAAGGACTTGGGGGTAGGTTCTTGTTCCAAGCAAGAGCTTGATAATAAGGATGGAAAGAAGAATAAGCCATGAATATAGTGCAATTTTGTCCTCCATGCTAAAAATGCGATGGTTCTGGCAATTGCTATATGCGGCACTTGCAATCCTTTTATTCAAAGAAGGTTCATGCAAAAATTAAATATAAAATGAAAAATTTATAGTTTAGTTTAATTGGTTTATGCAACTACAATTAAAAAATGATATATAATATATTTAGAATTCAAATATCAATACTTGTAATTTCTTATTTTATGTCAAGATTGTAATTTTTTTTATATAAAAAATTATGAAAACAAAAAAAAAAGAAGCTACCCTTTCCTTTTCTTTTAATTAATAGTACATTTGCGGAAATAACGCATATAATGAGAGTTTGATGAGATTGAATTTGATTTTATTGTTTAAAAAATTCAAGTAAAAGATTGGAATATATATAGTTGACCTCACAAATTGTTTTTTTGTTTTATAAACTTACCATTTCGAGCTAGTTTTCACGTAAATGAAGCTTATGGCAATCAATAATATAGCTTATGTCTCCAAGGTGAAAATTTGATTGATTTTGTTCATGGATTGGCAGGATTGCTTTGGAATTCTCGAGATTTGTTATGAATTCTTAATTACTCTTATTTTGTGGCAACTGGTAATAGTATAGCTGCCAAGTTGGGTGCCCTTAGTAAAGGTTTACCTTTGGGTATGTTCATATAAGATCTTTCCCAATCTATTGTGCCAATTGTCTTCATACAAAACACTTTTTAACTCAAAGCATCAAGGTGAACTTTTAAGTTTATTCTAGATGGTTCATTCATTTTAATATAAGATTGAAGTTCGATTTTTAATTCTTGTAAATTTCATTTTAATAATTTTAATTAAAAAATTGATAAAAAAATAAATTATAAAAAAAAATATAGGCATTAATAAGTTTACAATGAAATATATTTTTCTTTAAAAATAAAGTGAGAATTCATATTTTAAAATTCACTTTTACCATTTTTTTTTTATTTTAAAAGCCTATACGTGTAGTTTTATTTTATTTTATTTTAAATGTCAATATTCCAACTTCAGAAATGTCTCCAATCGTAAACTTAAATCAACAATCCTTTTGTTTTTAGAAATTTCAATAGTTAGGATGCGGGATAGGTGGAGCATTTTTCATTCTCAATTTTTTTTATATTATACTCATCCTTCTACCTATTTTCAATGAGTATTTCAAATTTACCTACATTCTCATTTTTTGTTTTTGTATTTAATGGGTATGAATAATCTTTGTTTCCATGTATTTTAAAAAAATAAAAAATATTTTTTACTTTTTTTAAATTTTATTTTTCACATATAAGTAATTTTTTTTATAAATATATATATTTTAAAACACAAATATATTAGTTTTAATAAATCTAAAATAAAAAAAATTAATTTATTAAATATGTAAATATATTGGGTACAAGTTCAAGGAAAATACTATATTACCTATTTCTATACTTGTTTTCTATAAAAAATTAAAACTGTATATTTATATACCGAAGAGAAATAAAAACCAAGTAACAGCAAGAAATTTCAAAATACAAAGGGAAAATGAAAATAAGTCAAAATTGATGGGAAAATATGCATAAAATTATTGTACGTATTAATTTATTTTATATTCATTGCATCAAGTTTTTTAATTAAAGTAAAATCAATTGAATTTATTATTTTCTTTTTAGAATAATATATATTATATAATCCATTTATATAATCATCGTAATTAATTATGAATTTCAATATAATAATACTAGTTTTCCAATTTTTTTTTTCAACAACAAAGACATAAATTTAGGATGAGATTCTGCACACTTTCATTTTATTTTTCCATCATACATTGACACTTTCATAGTTTTGAACTGCATGAAAACAATTGTGTTTACAATATTGAATTAGTTGCATGCAAGATTCAATCATTATGTAGATGAAACTAAAAAAGTAAAATACATACAACAAACAGATTGATAACAAAAATAACTTCGATCTTCTTCAATGCATACAACAAACAGATTGCTAATAAGCAACAATAGGGCTCCTCACTTGATGCAGGCCATCATTTCAGGTCAAAGAACCAGAGATCATAGGGTTGCCAACTCAGCTCTAATAGTCACAACAAAGTATTCCTTTTGGCCAAGAGAATTGAAAGAAAGTGCACTTGGTTGAACTTGGATTTTAAGTCCTGGTGCAACGTTAACAACTGCCTTGTAAGTTGACACAGCTGATCCAACATTTTTTACTGTCCCATGAAAGTGTCTAGTGATAGATTTTCCAGGAGTAGCAGATAATGCAAAGGAAGGGTAGTTTAGATCCCACACTGTTCCATTTGTTTCTTCAGAACAACTGCTATTATTTCCAGTTATGAGCTGTAGATATGCAGGCCTGTATCCTTGTCCACACAAAAATTTAACATAATCAATCTCTCCCGCATCATATATCAATCCGGGTTGGGCTGCTAGTGCAGGATTTATGTGACCTGCCCCGAACGCAAACTCACCTTCAATGTTGTTCTCAGCACTCATTGGAAAAGCTGCAAAAAATTAGATGGATTCTACTTAGATGTGAGAATTCAAAGCCCTTTGATAAACATTTCATGTTTACATATGGCCATTTTCAAAATGCAATTTTGATCTTGCATAAAACTAATACCTGTTGTCATTAGAGCAGACTTAATGGCAGCAGGAGACCATGTCGGATGAAATGACTTAACATAAGCACCTGCCTCAGTTGCATGTGGACAAGACATGGATGTGCCAGAAACAATATTGTATGGAACTACTCTTGCATCACCTTCGGTTGCTTCACAGTGGTATTTCCAGACCATGCAGCCAAAATATCAACCCCAGGTGCTGTAAGATGTCAGGCTGCCCTCAATCCAAGAAATTAGAACTTTAAAAGGAAGGAAATTTAACAAAAATGGAGAAAACCTATTTCATTTACCTTGAGGAATATCTGCTGTAATAGGTGTAGGCCCTCGAGATGAAAATGAAGCAACGTACGGGGCAAACTGATTGTTAGTTCTTGGATGCTCTGTTATGTTGCAGTTTGCGGTTCTAATACAAAGTAATGCAACTAAATTAATAATAATTTCAGCCTCTGATTTAAACCTTTTACAGGTAAATATTATATAGAGAACTTGGTATATACTCTGCTGTGTTCACGTAGTTGAAATCAGTTCTTCCATCATCCATGTTCAAGTTGGAAAGAGGTAGAGGGTAACTGAATTCATGATCTTTGTTTCCTTCATATTGAAATACAGCACCAACAGCTCCTCCCTCCAATTGTACCTTCAAGCATTGCTGTAATCTTCGCAAAAAACAATACTTCCTTTCCACTAATGTTTCGTTCAATGACCCTGGCAAGCAATACCTGCAATCCATAACGAATTTTTCGACATCAAGATAACATTCATTAATGTAGCATAAGGTCTGCATTTTGCAATCTCAATGCTCAATGCTACATGGAATCCTGGGAAACAAAACCTTGTGAAATGTCCGGGGCATCTCCACCATAGATGAAAGGGTACATTTTTCCATCGAGATCAAATGTATTTATAGATGTTCCCTACATTAATCATATATAAAACTGGTTAATTCAAGAGTTGGCATAGGAGTAGCAGAAATGAATCCCCTTAATTACTTCATAAATTTCACCATTACCGAGTTTCACCTTCCTCACGAACTTTCTATCTATGGTACTAGCAGCTACAGATAGAGACCAAGGTGAAAGATTCACAATTGATGCAGGATCAGGACCATTGTTACCAGCAGAGTTGGACGTCAGGATCCCATTCTTCATTGAATGGAAAGCTCCAATAGCAATGGAGTCTTCAAAATAATCGGATGCAAAGGAACCCCCAACTGAAAGAGAGATAATGTCAACACTATCGGCAATTGCATCATTAAATGCTGCAAGAATGTCTGCATGATGGCAACCATCAGACCAACATATCTTGTACACTGCAATGCGGGCAGATGGAACCCCTCCACGAGCCATCCCTTCGGCAAGGCCATATAAACTTGCCTGGCTAACTAAGCCACCTGCATCTGTTGATGCAGTGTGACTCCCATGACCATCTGAGTCTCTTGGAGATTCGAAATCATCTGAACCTAATTCTCCATCAGCCCGGTAGTATCTAGCTCCAATTATTTTCCTGAAAGGGATTATGAAAGACCAATCAACATTTGATAAATGATTTCTATCTGCTTATGTGTGTTATGATAAAGCTTTGTAAATTATTTTTACTTGTTGCAAGTGAAATTGGATGACTTTTGGCAAGTGTCCTTCCATTTTTCAGGAAGTGTACCAAATCCTGTGTCGTTAGAACTTTCAGATTCTGGCCATATCCCTGTGTCAAGCATTCCAACAACAATATCGTTCTCAATAACTGATATTTTCACTTTTTTGGAGAAGCCCATGAATTCCCATGACCTTGATGTGTGGAGCTGCTTCTTTTGGAACACAGAGGCAATCCCTTCCTTTCCTGAAGAAAAATATTTCCACAGTCACCTTTTTGGATAGCCGCGTGATCTATTAATAAAATGTTGAATATTTACTCCCACTGTATCCCAGTTGAAATCCAAAAGCCTCAATTATTAAAAAAAAAAACAAAAAAAGGGAGTTCTTTCCATAATTTCACCAAAAAATAATATTTAAATCTATTAAAGAAGCATTTCAATGTCAAAGAACTCTCAGTTTCTCTGCCTTCTCCTCGGTCAACTTGGCTGCAAATCCATTGAAGCTTCTATGGTAGCTGTAGAGCAAAATTTCTGACGCAGCACTTCTGAATGCAATTCATAAATAGAAGTAATTACATATGAAATGGTGAATCAAAGTTGAGTAAAACTTGCATTGAAATGCAAGGAAAATAAATGACAATTGACAAACCTGGGAACAATATCCTGAAGCAAGCTGGTGTGGAGGCTTCCAGCAGAGACCTCACCCTTTGGAAGGTCACCCATGTAAACAATGTAGACCTTGTTCAACAAAACAATTAAACGTATCAGAACTAATTCTAATTCC